ACGAAAACACAGGACAAATTTGACGATTTAAAGCAAATCGTTACTGCACTTACTTCACTTCGCTGCTCTCTTCAATACGCGTGATTGGCTGCTGTGATCGGCCACCGTTGTCTTCGATCATTTCTCCCGCATTTGAATTGATCACCTGGAAGCTTCACTATCAGTGTGAACGCGCAGTAACGCAAAATCTGATCACTTCAATTGCATCGCAAAAAAGATCGGTACTCAGCACCAGCTCACCTGAGTTGAGCCGAACCCGCCACCCTGTTGAATACCACCACCGGGAGTCTGACTGGACGGTCTCAGTGTATCATCTTGTCGTCCTTTGCCGATGCCGCCGGCTCGTTTACCTTCTGCTTTATGTGCGTCACCAGCATGGAGAGAACCCGAAGGAGTTGACTGCAATACACAATACAAGTCTTTTCCCGACAACATACCCTTCAAAAAAGACGTACTTAGTGTGAATCGGAGTGGCACGGGACACGTCAGAAGGCAGAAATTCAATTTCGGGGTCAACTGTATGTGCAGAACAGTGAATTAACATTACCATTGGGACTGTTTTCTCACCTTGAAAAACTCCCTCTCCTCCCATCACTGCAGAACTTTGTGCTCAAAGCAGTGCATGCACGAATGAATGAAAGAAAAACAAAAAATCACTGAATAAAAAATGGATGAATGAATGAAAGCCAGTCGTCCGAACTTGCTTATCCCAATCTGAACAAAAAATAACCCAATTTGTTCTCTTCAGTGATTGTTCAGGTAGATTTTACAGCAGTTATGATAATTTCTGTTGAATGCGTGTATTCAACGCCACCCAAAATTAGCACCGGAGCAAAAACTTAAGCAAGCAGAAGCACGCATAATGCTACTACGAGCTACACTGCAGCAAGATGGAAGTGGAGCCCCGAGAAAGCGAGCTGTTTTTTGGAAATGAATAAAAACCAAAAAGGTTTACGTAAAAAAGGAAAGTTCGGGAAAGATGACGCAATAATGCATTTCTCAGCCCCCCTTTTGCAACCTGACATATTACGTAAAAAAGTCCAGAACATGCTGAAAGCTATACTTCGAAATAAGCAAAAAAAGGGGGCGAGGAAAAGGTAAAACCGTTTCATCCCAAAATCAAGTCTATTTCAAAAATTTTATAGTGCCATTCCGATCACTAATATGATAAAAATCTTTTTTTTTTGACAAGTATGGTAAATTTCACCATACAAATTAAACACCAAAGAATGTGCTTCCCGACGATACAAGGATGCAAATGCGATGAAAAGCAATGCTCTGTAGACGCCGCTACACGCAATGGGAAGATACCGCATAACTTCAATAAAGTTGCAGTCTGAAGTCTACTTAACGAAGAGCACAGTGGCGATTTTTGTGAAATTTGCCGAAAAACGGCCTGAGAAACGAACCACTTGGTTAAGCTTTGGCGTCCAGTCGAATTCGTAATCATAGGCATATCCAAGCCTATCAAGCACTGATTTGAAAAGATTATAGCAATACTCGTAATCTGGTGTCTCGAAGAAATCCAACCGGCGCGCGTACCGCAAATATTGAGCAAATTCTTCTGAAACTCCAACTTCAGTCGCGAACTCATTCACAATCAAAAGTCGGAGTCTCCGACAACCCAATGACGATAGAGAGTTCAAATAAATAGGCAACGCACGGGCTGCCCATGCGAAAATGCCTTTTTTGCATAGCTCCCCGCAGTTTTGTCGCTACCAGAATCGTTTTGGCAAATGCTTCTAGCTTAATAAATTAAGACTGGTCACCAAAACTGGCAGGAAACACCCCTTTGAAACTTCAGCTTTCTAGCTTTCCTGGCTCCTGAATTAGCAATTTACTGGAAAAAATTTTTCACGAG